TCTCTTCTTTCTCTCCTAGTCTCTGTCGTTCTTCTCCGTTTCTTTTTTTTTTCTTTTTTCTTTTCTTCTGACGGTGAAAATTCGAAATCTCCCTGTGTGTTGCCTCGAGATCAACCACGAGGTTTCATTCCGCCGCTGTTGGCCTTCCAACTCTCGCAAGGTGTTGCAAAGTTTCCCTCCGTATCAATTTTTTCGTTTCCTCGATCCGTTTCGTTCATCGTCTTCGCTGTTCTGCGAGGTCGATTTTTGATTGGTGCGGTCTGATGGAATCACTCGAGTTTTGCGCTATCAGTCTTCTTTGAGTGATCGGTGACGATGATCGCGGTGAAGGGTGAATTTTTCGGATCTTCGGTCGGAATCGAAATCGATCGTTTGAAATTAGATCGGTAGAACGTTCAGTCTCGTCAATTTGAGATAGATGCTCGAAATATCGGGATTCAGAAGAACTTTGAAGATTTTATGAAGAATGATAAGGAATGATAAATATTTTACAATATTCACAATTTCAAGGAAAAGAAATTCAAGTTGTTCATATTCAAAACTCAAAGAAAGGGAAAGCTCAAGTTAATTAATATTTAATAAAATATTTAAATTTCAATATTGCAAATTTGATTCAACTTGCTTTTGTTAGAATTAGTCCATTATTTTAAAGAAAAATAGTTAAAAAAAAAATCATTTCGAATATGAATATTTGATTAACAGACGATACGTTCCAATTCAAAGGATCGAAATCGATTCGAGATCAGTTCCGCGAGAAAGCAGCAATGCGAACAGCTTCGATCACTATTCATGGAAAAGACAGCTCTTTAGGCCGGTCGTGTAAAAAACGGCGTAAAAATTCGCTAGTAAAACGTGATATCATATTTAAAAAATTCCGGACGCATCGCTTCTTCCTGTTTTTTTCTTTTTTTTTTTTTAATTCTTTTTGACATTTTTCCTCTTATCTATTAAAAACCGTAGATTGAAACGTTCGTAATACCGTATCGATCAATTAATTGATCTATCATTGAACCCTCCTTCAAATTACTTAAATAATTTCGACAAATGGAATCTTTTCTTTATAGATCAAAACATTACAATTCAAATGTTTCA